AAAACATGGTTCCAAGGGGTCCCCTTACTCCATATCCTTATCTATCCCTACTAATAATTAGCCTATCCACCGTTTCTGACTTCCTTTTATATAATATCTTAACCTAAGCAACAACCGATTCAACTAATTTAATTGTGCAACCATTAAAATCGACTCGATTTTATTTAGAATTGAACAAAATTAAAAGGTTAAGTACATTTACAATGAAGAAATATGAAGAAAGCTCTAGCAGGTCTTTAATATTCTTGTTACAATTCCTTCGATAAAATTTTGTTTATTGTGGCTCGAACGCAAGATGAAGGCTTATAGGAGTGTAAGACTCAAGCCGCTGAGATTTAAATACCCAATTTTTGAAGTTCTAAATTTTGAGACTTTATTGAGAGTATTGGAGACTGGATTTAAAGTCAAAGTAGATAGAACAATGATAAGAAAACTCCTAGGAACTCAAAAAAAAAAAAAAAAAATAAATAAATAAATAGTAAAAAAAAATGCTCAAAGTCAACCTTGAGGCATAATGGTCATTTTGACCCCCCTTCCTAATGTGTAACACTCGATATAACGATCAATATTTAAAAAAAAATATATATTCGTGAAGTCGTTGGAGGATGCGAGAATCCCGGCGACCACCAGAGTTCTAGCGCTCCACACGACCATGGAGCTCGTGAATCCGTCTTCCTTGGCCTTCAACATAGCCACACTGTTAGATAAAACTTGAGTTTTTCTTATTTAGATTGACACGATTTCATTAGTTGATTGAATATCTCTGTTTGACCATTTGACAAACAAATCAAATGGAATACCAAAGTTTTAGATGGCAATTTTGTAGGAATGGCACAAAATTTAGTTTGCAATCTACAACCATTTTTAGAATGAGTTATATTTAAAAAGGTAAATTTGTTCCAAATTTTAAGCAATTCTCTCTCTTTCTTATTTTAACCGTTTTATTTTCTTCCAACTAACTTTCCGAAGCCATCGGTGGTATATCATTGCAAAGGAGTCAATCTATCAATAATCAAGTTGAATAGCTCAAGTGATTAAAGCGTCAATTTAATAACACGTAGGTTTCAGGTTCAAGTAGAAGAAAATGCAAAGCACACAATCTTGCTCATTCAAAACAACACACACGACCTAAAATACCTGCAAAGAAGAGAAAAGAGAGCTGGCCGATTATCGAAAAACAACACACACGACCTAAAATACCTGCAAAGAAGAGAAAAAAGAGCAAGGAAAGGAAAACCATCTAGGAAAACCATTTTTAGATGGTTTCCCTGGCCGATTATCGAAAAACAACACACACGACCTAAAATACCTGNAAAGAAGAGAAAAGAGAGCAAGGAAAGGAAAACCGACGTACCCAACGCCCAAATCGACCAACCCATGCCGTGAAAGAGATTGCTAACCTGGCCGATTATCGAAAAACAACACACACGACCTAAAATACCTGCAAAGAAGAGAAAAGAGAGCAAGGAAAGGAAAACCGACGTACCCAACGCCCAAATCGACCAACCCATGCCGTGAAAGAGATTGCTAACCTGGCCGATTATCGAAAAACAACACACACGACCTAAATTTTTAGATGGTTTCCCTGGCCGATTATCGAAAAACAACACACACGACCTAAAATACCTGCAAAGAAGAGAAAAGAGAGCAAGGAAAGGAAAACCGACGTACCCAACGCCCAAATCGACCAACCCAGCAAAGAAGAGAAAAGAGAGCAAGGAAAGGAAAACCGACGTACCCAACGCCCAAATCGACCAACCCATGCCGTGAAAGAGATTGCTAACCTGAAAGGAAAACCGACGTACCCAACGCCCAAATCGACCAACCCATGCCGTGAAAGAGATTGCTAACCTTAGTACCTCCACCAAGCCAAAAACCACGCAATGTTGTCACTCATTGCCATTGGAAAAAAGAATATGGAATTCGAATTTTTAAGACAACGAGATCCACTTCCCCGAACGTCCACCAGCCACGAGAAGTCGACAAAGAGATTACAGTCGTGGAGAGGAGAGAGAAAATGCAGTCGAAAAACGCAGTGAGTCGGGCAAAGAAGAAAGGATCTATCGGTGTAATAGGAAACAAACCCTAGCAACTTTAGAGGAACGAGAGCTTAATTGTATGAGTTTTGCATCAATGTTAAGATGATAACTAGAGGGACCTCATGCATGTTTTGTGTACATAAGCATAGGGATACTTCCAATGGAGATGATGAGTGCGGACTCGTACAATATGATGATGAGGGTGATCATGGTGAGCATGACACCAGGGGTTCCATTGACCTCTAGACATCCCTACAGATAGCTAGCTTAACCAAAGAGGGTCCAGGGGGTGTGCGAGCCGCTTGGAGATGCACACTCGCACATGTGGGTCGTGTGTCGGAAAATGCTATAAATCCATAGTAGTCAAGACTGAAGACCACCCCTAGTATGAGATGAGATAGAGATAGGTCCGTAGAGCATATTTGCATGTGATTGCATTTAGCATGCCCCCTATAGTGGGTCACTTATTGAGTATTCATCAAAATACTCAGGCCGTGTGCCACATCATTTTTTAGGTAAAGGTAAGGCGCCCATGTACAGATGACAGAGACATTGCGAGTAGAGACCATGAACGTTCATAGTGTAGATACATATTTACATTTCTGGTCTTAGATTAGAATAGGTTGTCTTGCATTTCATCATTTTAAATTATTTTGTATTTGCTTTTATTTTTGAATTCCAATATTTCGTTTGAAACACGTAAGACCATGGTTGTGTTTTCCAAAGTTACAAGATGTTTTAAATTTTTTCGACATTTATACTATAGATGATGTTTTCTTTCAAGAGTTATATTCCGTATTTTAGAAGAGTTTGAGACATTAGTAGTGACTATGAGTAAGTAGAAATTTAGGGTCGTTACATTCGAGCCTCGACGACTTAAATAAGAGTTATATATAAAATATTAGCAACCAGTTTTAAGATCCAATTTGAATGTAACACTTATATTTTAGGAAAATTAATAATTGGAGATTACATTGAATTTATTGGATAAGTTGGAATTATTGGAGATTCTTAATGACTTAAATTAAGATAATTAATGAGTGACTTTAGTAGTCCTCGTTGACGTATGGTTGATTTAGGGTTATCAAACTCAAATGATTCGTCCAATTAAGATTGAAGCAAAATTTGGGATTTGTTGCCTTTCAAAACTAAAAACAATAAACGAAAGATCAAAAACTAAAAATCAAGCACTAGAAATTCAAAACTTCATAATCAAAATCAAAGTTTTTAGGATAAAACTCTGCACAAAATTCCTAGGACTAAGGTTCAACATAAGAATCAAGATACTTTTCATGATCAAGAAAAGAGTGTGGTTGTCCAAACTTTCACATTGGACGCTATTAAGAACCTAAAAATAGGTTATTTATTGAATCGTGTACTCATTCATGTTTTCTATATTTTTTTAATTAATAAGAAGTTGGTCGAGGAGTACGAGAGAGGATTCAAAATAGGTGTCATAGAGAGTTCAGCTTAGAAACCAGAGCCTCCAGTTTTTGTGTAAGATTTTGTCAGTCTTTTTGTCGACCTTTTCCTTTTGTATTTGAACTAAAATGTTGTTTTGGGTGTTACGAATCGAAGTCATGGTTCGTGATTTGAAAATCCTCGAAAATCGAGTCATTACATAACTCCATTAAGTTGATATCCACAAATTTAGATGTAAGAAAATGAAAAGTTTCCTTCTAAAAAAAATTGAAGAAATCAATCTACCAAAGTAGCCCACAACTCTTGAAAAAAAAGTTAGAAACTCCACCATGGCCTTGATTGATGTTGATGATCCACCACCATCATCCCCCCAACTAGTCTTCATCATTCTCTCCAACCCCACACATGGGTTGCCACAATAATCACATCATCCTCTTCAATCTCCTCCCTCCATTTTCTCCATCATCATCATCATTCTCTTCACTCTCCTCCCTCCATTTTCTTCATCTTTCCTTTATAAAAACCATCCAATCAAAACCCAATTAGGAATAGAAGAGAAGAGAAGAGAAGAGAAGAGAAGGCCAAGTAATTCCAGGCTATGGAGAAGAGCAAAACATTCCCCAAGTACTCCTCCTCGACTTCGGGTGAGTTCGGTTTCGAAACCCAGTCTAACTCGTACAATTTCAATGGCTCGATTGATAAGGGGAGCGGATTTTCATCCTCGGCCGATCCCGAGCTTCAAAGGAAGAGAAGGATCGCCTCTTATAATGTTTTCAATATGGAAAACAAAGTGAAGTCTAGTGTAAAGAACAGCTTCAAGTGGATCAAAACCAAGTTTAGTGACCGTCGCTATGGTTTGTGAGTTTCTTACTTGATTAAAGTTTTTTTTTTTTTTTTTTTTTTTTTTTTGTATGTGTGTTTCTAAAGACTTGGAACCAAATTGAAGACATAATTAAAGAGTTTGGAAGGTGGCTTTGTTTCTCCATGCAAGTATAAAACCCAATTACCTCTATTTTTGGTTGAAATAAATATAAGATTTAAAGTAGTTCATATTTTTCAATCCAAAATTATATCTTTCTCAATGTTTATTTATCTACTTATTTCTTTTCTTTTAAAATATGTATTTTTCTGATTAAATAAAAAATTAGGTTAGTGATTGGGAGTGCACTTCTGTTTTCTTATTGCAAAAAGAAAAGTTATTTGAAAAAAGAAAGAAAAAAGTTGAGAACTTTTTCCTTTTTCCACTTACCTTTAATTAAAATGAAGATTCCTTGCCAAAATGATGTCATTTTTTAGTTCACCAGTGTTTCAAATATTGGGATAATGAATTGATTAAGATAAACCAAAAACAAATGGACAAATGGTATCGTTTTAATTTATGAAGATCTAATTTTTTAAATCAAAGTTATATGTACAATTGAACGAGTTGAAGTAAGTCATAGATTGATGGTTGTGAATTTTAATGTGAGTTCGAGTCATAACTTGATCGATATGATATTTGATGTCAATTTTAGTGAGTCATTATTTAACTAAGGTGAATTTGGAGTTTAAATGAGTCATACCTTGGTCGAAGTGAAATTGATTGATACAAATATGTGGTATCTCCACCCTAAATGGGTCATAATTTGGGGGCAAAATTCTTAGCATAGATTCGTTGATTTAGCATGATGCAATCTTACTTTTGGTTCACCTCAATATCGTGGTAGTACATGAGTATCCCAAGGTCAGCCATCTCAAATTCTTTCATCACTTGCTAATTGAACTCTTTGATACCCCTTTCACACTATTTCAAGTCGAGTCACAACAAAAACATAAAAGTCAAAGTAAAATACAGTTAAAAAAAATCAATTAAAAAAAAACATTTATTTCAAAACCAAATTAAAGTTTCAATATATTTGGCTCGATAAGATAACACAACTTAAAATATTAGATGGTTGAAACACGATGTGGCTCTGTATGACACCTTCTCTAGAACTCGTCCATCTACTGCCAACTCCTTCTTGTCACTTGAAAACACTCCATAAGTAGGCTCTTAATCACACCTTAGAATGCTAGGGAACTATGCTAGGTCATGTTATATCCTTCTTCTTATTCTGAACTCCTTTCTCTTCGTGACCTTCATAAAAAATGTTCCTTGAGTGCCAAACAGTCGATTGGGACTAATTTAGATGAAACGATGTTGTCATAGTCTCCAATTGGATCTTTCAATCTTCCTTACTTGTCAGCCATGAAAACTTGAATTGGGAGAAAGTGTTTGAGAAATTTTTAGCACTCAAATTCTTCAGGAAGTTTTTGGGAAGCTCATTTAGAATGTGTAGGGATTGGTTTGAAGAAAAATGGTTAATCATTGCTAGAAGAAATCTAATGAAGAAGAAAACACATAAACTAAAAGTATATTTCTAAGTTTAAGGAACCCTCAAAGCTTGATTCTTATGAAACCCCCTATTTCATACTTTATAAAGGAAACTTAAACCAACACGGAATCCTTCATAACTTTCGTGAATTTGGAGTTCACTTTCTAGAGTTTTCTGTCGCAAACATCTCCTCCGATCATAGGCTTATTGACTTTATTCTCGAATTTCAACTATTGGATTTCAGTTATCTCGAGTCTTCTTGAACGAACTAAAATTTTAGTTCTATCCTATACTTAGATTCGAAAATACGAAGGATCTTGTGTAGGTTGCTAATGGTAGCATTTTAGATTTTTCTGACAATCTGTAATTATATTTAGCTCTAGGGATATTTTGGTAATTTGTCATTTTTAATATGTTAGTATTATTTCTCGATAAATTCCAACTTTTAAAAGAAAAAAACCTTTACCCATTTTGAAACTTTTCACCTTCTTGAGCATCTTTAAACTCCTCAATAAGGAATAAAAATTTTGGGGAGTTCCTTAAAATTGAAAAATGACCCCTTTGTCCTTATGCTTACTTTTTCCTTTCTAGAACTTTCTCAAAGATCTTGAATCCTTGTAATTTCTTGTTAGGGCACTGAAACCACTCATTTAATCATACTCTTGTCTTCGGGGATTGACATCGTTATGAGTTTATGAGAGATTATCACCGTCTCCTTTACCGCCACGTCTGCAGCCAAGGCCACCCATGACCTCTACTTTTCATGTTGCTGCCGCCAAATCCCTTTGTGCTTGAAAAATAAGAATCAACTGCACTTTTCTTTTTTGCTCGTGTGAGTCACTCTTCATGTGAGAGTAAGAGATATTTTTCCTCCTCTCTGTCGTCATCGTAGTCACAAACTTTCTCCTCATGAGCCTTGAGACGACCAACAACCTCCTCCATAGATTCTTGAGGTCACAAAACTGCTCGATAGAGGTAATGATCTGCATTAATTTCGAGGGATGGCTAGAAGGAACTTCTTGACGATGAAGATCTCTTCACTTGTCGCCTAACATATGGATGTTGGTGACGATCGTTGACAATTACATGGAAAATTTGTCTTCTGACTCATCGTTCTTCATTCAAATAGTGTTTGAAATCACTCTTAATGGTTTGCATGTTTGTTTCCTTGACTCGTTCCACACCCATATGCATTGTTTGCAACATCTCCCACTTTTTTTTTTTTTTTTTTTTTGTGAGTTCTTTTCTACCAATATGAGAAGGACATCCTAACTTGGTAGTTGACAACAAGAGTCATCTTGTCCTTACGCTTCTCGATATCATCATTGTACTAGATGGTATCCCACGCTCCTTGTGCCTATAAATTAACACACATATTTATCAACCATAATGCATAGTTACTCTTCGTGAGTAATGGGTACCGAAGCTTTACATTGCCCTTCTTTTTGCTCTATATCACCGTCACCCTTGCTCTGATGATCTTGTGCACTTATGACATTTGTTTCAGCATCCTATCTTTGATACCAGATGTTAGTGATGACGCTCAATTAAAGTACATCGAAATGAATAACCGAAATTAAAAGAAATACAATAATTTGAGGAAAGAATTTTTTTATACTAAAAAAATTCAACGACAATGTTTTGTGATGACCCTCAATTAAAGTACATTGTAATGGACTCTAAAGTTTTCCCCTACGTGAGAGATTTAAATGAATGAAGTTCATGATATCATTTTGCAAAGCAGTTGGTGGTTTAGTACAGGATCTATAAAATAGAATTGATCAATACCGAATTTTCATCTACAAAAGATTAGTTTGGTAAATCATAAGTAGGTTCAATATATCATGTCAAGTTCTACAAGAGAGTGAGCTCATGCTTGCCAAACTATTAGGTACTCATGTGGTACCTGACACATTTGGTTTGTTTCCACACATAAGAATGATAAAAATATAATTCTAACCTTGAGGTTGTATCCAATAAAATTTTACGATCCAATTTTTTAGATTTAGAATTTGGGACCTTGACTAAAAAGATAAGATAACAAAAACCAAAACACAGTAAAATTTTGTAGGATTTTAAGACATACAACACCATAGTCAAAATCTAAAATCCAAAATGATAACAATACAATACCGGTGTTGTTCAAGTTACTTACAAATGGGAAGCAGGAACATGATACAAATGAATATGAATATCAATCTACAAAATACAAATTAAACTGATACATCGGGTCGACATCTCTCTGTAACAGTGCAGCTTTAGAGCACCCCTCCTGACTGGTACCTAAATAAAAAGAGAGAAGGGTGAGTATAAAATTCAGTAAGCAGCCTACTTGTAAACTCTCGTTGCTCTCATCCAAGTAAGTTTCCACAGACTTTTGTTTGGTATCTATGAAGTTTGGGCCTAATTTCACATTTATCTAAGCTTTTGAGTAGGTTTTGAAGTTCAAAGTAGTTATCTTGCATTTCATAGACCCTTTCAAGGTTTGGAAGTTGCTACCACATACCACGGGCAACCATCATGAGTCAACTAACTATGTAGTCTCAAGTCCTCTTTTTAGATCAATTTACGATATCGCGGTCTCAACCTTTGACCCATCCCTACACTTAATTCAAGCATTCACCTCATCATCTACCTATGTAGTCTCAAATATTTCTCCATAACCGATTTACAAGACTGTAGCGTCAGTCTTGACTTGTTTCCACACTCAATAGAAACGCTCTCCTTGTTATATACTGTGATTTGTGTTCCAGGCAGTTGATGGATGTTATCTCCTTATAGAGCTTTTTTGTTTGGTCATATATTTTAGTGTATATTTTCATTACTTTAGGTGATTGATAAAATATCTTCCTAATAAGCTTGCACAAAGATTTAGATTATACATACCACACTCTTATAATGGATAGGATAATCTCCCAAATAAAGAAGGCATAAGAGAACCATGTTGAGGATTATTGAGAGTGAGTCCCACATTGGTTAATTTAGTGAAAGATCATGGGTTTATAAGTGAGAAATACTATCTCCATTGAAATGAGGCCTTTTGGGAAGCCCAAAGCAAAGCCATGAGAGCTTATGCTCAAAGTGGACAATATCATATCATTGTAGAGATCCATGATTCCTAACATGGTATCATGCACCTAGTGTATGGATTAACCAAGGGTGAGTCCTAAAGTAAATGATAATTGAGAACCAATATCATACCATTGCATGATTCCTAACATGGTATCATGCACCTAGTGTATGGATTAACCAAGGGTGAGTCCTAAAGTAAATGATAATTGACATTTCCACCTTGGTACCAGTATTGTCGAGTAAGGCATAGGCCAGTTAGGGAATGTTCCCCAACCATGTGGTCAAGGGTCTCCTGAAAATGTATGACGTTGTGATCTTGGCACACTCATGACAAGCTTTGAGGAGAACCCAAGCCTCATGAATATTTTTCTCTATTCCTTGTGGCTTCCTTAGACCTTAGAGACCTTAGGCAAGGTTTGTCTTTGTCATTTGATAGTGCAGACATGATTTTTGCCAAACGAACATACTATGTTGTGGAGTGTTCGTTCAATGTCCAATTGACACTAAATTTTGTGAGCTTTTATATTTCATATGGATGGATTTTACTCCAGAACAGAACTGCATGTCCAAGTTCCCTCTAGAACTTTGACTTTTGAGGTTAAGGTTAGGGGTCCTATAGAGTAGGCAGAGACAAAGAAGTCCCTACCTATTATTTCAATTTTAATCTCTATCAAATTTTTAATTTTCTTTTGTACGAATCATGACAAGGACGGAGATAGAAAATTGGAGAGAATTAGGTTCTCTATATTTTAAAAAAATAAAACATTCTAATAAATTAAATAATATGTTATAAAAGATAGGGATTGGTTGAGGGAAGAAATCTCTTTTATTCTTTTATTACTTCTTACTTCAATTGGAATTCCTACCTATGTCGGTCAGCCATGACAGCTCTAATGGAGGAAGCCAATTTTGTTTGAGAGAGGGGATATTTTTCTTGATCTTAAAAAATAAAAAATCTGTGGGCGTAGTGGTTTTAAAATCCCATTCGTGACAGCTCATAAATTACTTTATTCTTTCCTCCCAATCCAAAATCAAAATCATCAAGAAAAAGAGAAAAAAAATGAGTGCCTCAATCACTTCCCTAGCTTCCTTCTTCCTCCTTGGAGCCCCCTCCTACACCACGCGGTTGCCATCGACCACATTGTCGGAGGCGATCATGGGTGGAACCTCCCACCAACCCCCACCTTCTTCTCGCAATGGGCTCGCAATTCAACATTCTACATCAATGATAGACTCAGTAATTATTCACTTCATTCCTTCTTTCTTTCATTTATGTTACTCCTAACTCGTAACTTGGCTGCATGTTTTGTTGGGCAGTAATCAAATCAAGAGGCAACGAAGCTCATGACGTTGCGCGCCCAAAATCTCAAGCAGATTTTGACGGATGTGTTCTCCCACCATTTGTTTATGATTTTGTTGGTTTCATTTCGCTACCACGTGTTGGTCGCTTTTATTTTATATCCGCTATGGGAAATGATTGCAATGCAGGAATGAAATTTGCTATCGACGTCCTACCAATGTTGTGAACATGAATGCCAAATTGTTGGAGGATGATATCATCGTTTTCAAATAATACCACACACATAATTGTGGGACTTCCTGCACTCTCTACTTCTCTAAATCACTCTTATGTTCATCTTTTTTTTTTCTCATTGAAGATATATTTCAACAAAGTTAGAAGCAACCAATTTTAACATTTGTGTTACTAACCCTCGCTTGTGTTGATAGCGTCTTTATCAAGTTGGTCATCATGGTGATCTAA